GTATCAGACTATATTTACTGAATTTTAAACTTCACAGAAGCTATGCAAGAGTTTAGTCATATCTCTCCTAAATTACTGTGATATTGTCTATTTTCGCTCATTAGATTGCGTGACAAAAAACATTATCCAAATCTTTCAAAATAATTGTGTACGGTTCATTTTTGGATTACTAAAATTTGGCCATGTTTATAATATATATAATAATTTAATTATTACGTCTATATCGCGCAGAAGTCCATACCAAGGTACAAACAATAAAGTGCGACGGGAACGACTGTACAGCTTGAGCCCTAAAGGCGGATGCGAGAGGTTTCGCGTCTTCCGACCATATAAGTGCCGATCCGAATGCCGTTGCATGTGACGTTACAGAATAAGGAACCCAGAAGCTACACTCGAGCAAAATCCCCAGTATAATTTTCAACTTTTGGCTGAAGCAAGCACGTCAAAAGCTTCTGTTATACTGGTGCTTTTTGTGATGAGAAGATGTGCTGCCGTGCGTGCGCGTAAAATTCACGTATCTGACAAATATTAGCCAGAGTGATTCTACTAGCCCTATACCGTGGTGACGTTACGTCTGGACATATACGCATGCTCGTGGTAAGCTGCAGCGCGCCACAGAAGATGCAATAACTCAAATTTAAAGATTTCGAAATGACTCTTCTGGATTAGTCGTATATTATCAATATACGTATACTGTCATATTATGTAGCTAAATGTAAAAGATTTTTCGACTAGAAGAAACTTTGAGCGCTAGGTACACGCTGACGCTGGTCGTCCACTAGATACACGTCTTAAATAGTCGGTTCTCTTCGGCAGCAGAACTAAACGTCAGCTGCCGGGATGCATCGTCAGGAGTTGCTGTGCATTATTGTATATACTGGAATGCTCGCCACACGCTCTGTTTACTCTTATTTCGTTCGCCGCGTCCAGCTCACAACAAACGCTCCACGGTGAGTTTGGACGCTTTAATGAATTGCTTCGCATACTAATGGCATTCATTTGAACAAAAACTGCAAATACTACTGAGTTTATTATATGGATAAGTAGAAATTCGATTGTCACATGCATAAAACGTATGAAAGGCTCCCATTATCTTTAAATTCTGTTGTCAGATTTTTAGAAATTCGATATACACATTCATTAGGTGATCCCGCAGTCTTGTTAGGGAAAGAGTATGGGACGATTCTAAAAAACCGTATCATGTCTGTCTCAACTCCCAGGGACCCAATTCTTGAAAACAAGAGTATAGAATAAATAATAGAAGATGTTCTATAACTGACAGCTTTTGACGTCTATCAAATGAATTTGCAAATGCATTATCTCCGGCAAAATAGTGTGTTTCTAGAATTTTCATATCATTAAATGTTTCGTCATCATGTTAACTTCGTCTTTAGAGGCGAAACTGATGGACTTCTGCACTTCTACTTCCTACGAGGAATATGAATTAAGTGATGAGTCTGGCAACGTAGCGTTCGATCTGGCAACACTGGATACGCCGAGCTTGGGGGGAGTCATGGGAACATGTGATCTGTCTTCAGTACAGGTTTGAACTCGCTCGAAAAATTTGATTGTCCGCAGCGATTTGTGAAACATTTTTTCTATTGTGTTTTAAAAATGAGTGACATCAATTTCAAGCAACTAGGTGCTATCAGGTTTTACTTCACACTTGGGCATAGTACGCCTGAAACTCTTGCTCAACAGGCCTACAGAGATAGTGTTTTGTCAAGAGCCCAGTTTTTTGGTGGTTTAAGGCATTTTCATAAGGGACATAGTCGTTTGAAGATGAAATACGAAGCGGAAGGCCTTTATCTTCAACAACCGATGGAAATATCCGGGATCTTGTGCGTTCATATTGTCGGTTGAGTCAGAATGATCGGGGAAGACTTAAATTTGACTCACACCACCTTTCATCAGATCACTGAGTGCTGCATCACGGTAATGATACTTGTCAATAAACGAGCCGGTAAAAACGTTCCTGTGTCTCCTTATTCACCTGACTTGAGTCCTTGTGACTTTTTTCTCTTCACGAAGTCGAAAAATCTCCCCAAGGGAACTCATTTTGGGACAGTCGAAAACATGCCAACGGCTGTAATTGACCAGCTGAAGGCTATGCCTTTATCGGAGTTTCAGCACTGCTATGAAGAGTAGAAGAACCATCTCAAGCACAGTGTGGCTTCAGAAGGAAGTTATTTTGAAATGATAATGTAAAATTGTAATTATATTTCAATAAAAAATAAGTCTCATCAGTTAATTTACAGGCCTCGTACGCCAATGAGAGAGAGATTACTGTACTTATTAACCGATCTTATCAACCGTAGTGCTTGGAAATTCGCCTTTTCGGTAAAAATTAGTACATAGACTCCCAGATTATCCACAAAAATTCCAATTCCCTGTATAGAACGTTCCATTTCTACATTGAAACTTAAAGCAATTCCCGGAGGAACTGGATAGCCGCCAACCTGACTAGCATCGACTTCCTGTGTACCCAGTATAGGATTTGGCACCTTTATTCACTTGATCCAATATATTTCTATAACCAATTTTCTAAACTCAGTTCACCAACAACAATTGTAGCAAGTAAGCTAAACTTAAAAATTATCTAACTTGTTTGATTTTGAAATAATTAAACATTTTTTGCATGGTAGATCACCCGATCTCGCTTTTAATAATGTAATCATCATGACAACAGCGAGATAAGACATAAAATAAAGATGATAAAGTCCAACTGCCTACAATCTACATGAACCTTTAGACAACAATACAAGTGTAATTTACGAAAAACTTCGCACCATAAGGTTCCCAAAAATTACACCAAATCTTACATATTTGTACATATATCTGGAATACAATGTAGCTTTACATCTACCAAGTCATTTAAAACGAATATAATTACAATATATTTACCTCTGATGTCCTTTCGTATGCCTCCCGCTCGTTTTGTTACTAGGATACACCTGGTTCACTTGCACATTTATTATTCCCATTATGAGTTAATTAGGTCGATACCTGCCGATCATCCCTTTATAACCTCTCGGATACACTATTGCCTCAAACGCTTTTTATGAGGCCACACCCCGATGCATCGAGTTAAATACGAGGAATGTCTTTTAAGTTTTGCATATAGAAACATAGTAGGCCGCGCGGATCGAACGTCAGTACTGAATCTTAACCTCACTCTTCAGTAAACTTAAATTCAAAGTTTCACAACAATACATGGAATGTTCTCACTACAGTGAATTTTTAAGTGTCACCAAGTCATTAGAAAAATGGAACTCAAGCGAGAACATTTTCGCGCCATAATTTATTACAACTTTCAGAGACAATTATCGCAACAAGAATGCCTTGCTGAGTTACTGTCTGTTTTCGGCAACGAAGCGCCCCATCAGTCGACACTTTCCCGTTGGTATGAAGAATTTAAACATTGACGGGTGAGTCTTAGCGCCGATCCCAGGGCGGGTGCACCAAAAAACGTCGATGATGTGCGCAAACTCATCATTGAAGATAGACATGTGACATATCGCGAGATTGAGGCGTCCTTGAAGATCTCAGAGATCTCAATTCAAAAAACTTTACATGAAAAATTAGGAGTAGAAAGCAGCCAGGGTTAATTGGTGTCAAAAAACGCTTGACCGTTTCAATTCCGGAAACTCAAAAAATGTGTACAGCATTGTTAGTCGTGATGAATCGTGGTTTTACTGTTATGAACCAGAAAATAAACGACAGTCGGCTGTTTGGGTGTTCCAAGGTGAAGAAAAGCCAACAAAAATCATCCGTTCTCGAAGTGTTTCGAAGAAGATGGTCGCGAAATTTGTGTCAAAAGCGGGTCATATTGCAACAATTCCTCTTAATGAGCAAAGAACTATTACTGCGTATTAGTATACCACCATTTGTTTGCTAAAAGTCCTCACTGAGCTTCGAAAAATCAACCCCGAGAGAAGAATCATCCTCCACCAAGTCAATGCAAGCTCGCACACAGCCCAAAAAACAAGGCAGTATTTAACGGAAGAAAACGTGGAATTATTGAACCATCCTCCATATAGTCCCGATCGAAATCCTAACGATTTCTTTACTTTCCCGAAAATTAAAAACACACTGCGTGGTCAAAGGTTCCAGTTACCAGAAGAAGCAGTTGACGCATTCAAAAATACCGTTTTGGATCTGCCAGTGGAATAAGTGCTTCGAAAATTGGTTCGAGCTCATGCAGATGTGTATTAATCTTCGTGGAGAATACTTCGAAAAACAATAATGTCATTTAAAACTACCTACCGTGTTGTTTTATTTCCATATGCAAAACTTAAAAGACATCTCTCGTATGGTAGCCGTTAGGCGTTGCTGTTTCACGCGATAAGAAAATGCATTTCGTGTTTCCTGAGTTTCTCATTTGTTTTTAAACGTAGAAGCTTCAAATTTGGATATTCGTTATAATAAGTACTTCTCTTTCTTGGAAACTATTAGATTCCACAAAAAACTTATTATTAATGAGGTATAATTTTTTATGCCAAAACTTTATCTAAAATCGGTCAACAATGAAGCGAGGTATCCCGGACCTACCTTTGTAGGTTAGGTAGAAAGTGTTTCTAAGGTTACAGAAGTGGACAGCAAATAGATGCTACAAACCCTCTGTTTAGTTTATGCAGCTCTTGCATAGTCCATCAAATCTGGTGAGCATGGTGAGCATTTGGTGCCTGAATGATGAGACGCCTATGGTGGTAGGCGATGCGAAAATATGCTGGGAAGCGTACGAGTATGTGATGTTCTGGTACTGACGTAAGGTCGGTAGTGCCGCATTTTATGAAGTACTCACAGATGGCAGTATGACCTCTTCACCATTACAAGTATTTTTACAAAGAAAGGAATTCACCTCGAGTTGTTCTTATAGACAATTTTGATCTGGAAATGCTCGAGACAGACCTGCTGCACCCGGCTGCACAATCTCGTTCATCTGATCACCCTATCGCCACACTACAATTCCTCTTTTAGTAGTGCTTCATGCTTCGTAGACAACGTCGCATCACGTCCGTATGCAGCTGCAAGATCTCAACAAAATTAGCGAGGAAGCTTCATCGGCGAATAAGAGGAGCGATCTGTCCTTTATAAGCTACTTTTCGGTGTCGCCGACGGAATTGAAAAATAAAAAGTTGCCCGGAGAGAACTTCACGGCCGCAACACTGTAATGCTTTTCCCGGTGAAGCCTGCCTACGATGCCTGGGATGCTGATGCGATTTCGGAAAGCCGACTCAGCGACTGCCTCTCGGATTTCATTAGGTTTATGCGACCACCGTCAGCAAAGCAACACTACGGAACCGTTTTTTAACCCCGGACGAAAAAAATGCCGTCAAGTAGGTTGACTCTGCACTCATCACTCATCACCCCATAAAGGATTATGTTCGGCACAAGTTAGTCCCTCTGAGAAAAAAATTAACAACGAACATGTATAATAAAGAATCAAATGGATCAAGTTAGTCAAACAGGCTCATAAAATTGAATCGGTCAGTGCAAATACCTTGTAAGTTAATATACTATTTGAGATTTGAATGGGATGCTAACCACCCCCCCCCCCCTATATAGCAAAAATGTGCGCCGGCAGAATTCGGACCCGCATCTCTTCCATTCCGTGGAGCCGGCTTCACCAATTAGTCTACAGCACGAGCTGCCAGCCAACTTTCAGAATCCACCAATAAAGGTAAATTCAATTCTATATACGCCACTGCTACTCTGTTCTTTCAAGCTGCTTGATACCATATCTGGCGGCGTTCAAGTAAAATGTACTCCATACTGTATAGGGTTAGTGTCCTCGCACGGTGGTACCGTGGTGTGTGCCCACCAGACGCCGTGGTGCAACTAGAAAGCTATTGGAGATATTTTACCAATCCGGATATTAGACCACACCTGATCAAACTTTCTGAGACAATATATCAACGAGCATCAACTATTATGAATTTTCTGTAAATCGATATTTAGTACTGTAGTCAGGATATGGATAATAAAGAATCAATGAATAAAATATTTTTGATAAAACATGACTTCTCGACAAGCTTCTTTCGCGTTTCAAAGCTCAGGATATGCGGATTTGAATATAATAATTTTAGAAATATTTAGCCTCGGAAACTGAAGGTATCAAGTATCATCCAGAGAGCTAGATAAAATTAGCAGCATTCACTAGAAAATTATTAAAGAAAAGACAATGACATTGGAATTGCCAGGATTGATCGTTAAATACACTTTATAAGAAATTTCATTGAAGAATTAAAATTGAATGTCTTTTCTGTGTCATCCGCTTAGGTTTGGATTCCACAATGCTCAACACAGCTATGCATAGCAGAAGTAAAAATTAATCAAAGTTAAAGGCTCCAAATGGAACGTATTTGGGCTCGGAAATACCTTTACTGGCTTTAACTCTGTAGGTGCATTCATCCCAAATCCGATGTCAACTTAGTGCCGCTTCAGATGGAACGTATGGTCAGAGCAGATCATCAGGACAGACGAGCAAGTACCATTGGTTTAGTATGAGCATTTCACATGAAGCGCGTATGATCAGTACGTATGATCTCGTACGTCGGCCATACGCCGAGCCCGTGCGTTAACGTAGCATCAGCGCGCGCACGAGCAATAGTTTTAATGAGCGATTTCACAAAGGACTGACGGTCAGTTGCGTACCAGCAAGCGTGGTTGCCGTTGCTTGTCTATGCACGTTTTTTGAGGTTACTTTTAATTAAATTTAACAATGAATCATTTAAAAATCGACACTGAACTCTTAATTAGTGCGATTGAATCTAAAAATTGCATATGGGACATTGCCTGCGATGAATATAAGAATAGAGATATTAAAAATGCAGCATTTTTGGAGGTAGCCGCTGTTGTTGTACACGAATTTGATAGGTTAAGTGAAAAAGAAAAACATGAAACAGGTAGGAATTTATTGTTTTTGTAATTAAAACAGTTTTATTTATTTTAATTGATCTTTGACTCTTGCCAAGGAATTTGCCCAGCATTGCTAATAGTTTGCAAAAGCATCTCTTACAGAATAACCTGTCCTATCATGTCTTCATAATCTTCGATTCATATTAGAAAAGCCTTTAATATTCAGGGTATGATGAAATGCATATCCGTCGCGAATGCATACAAAATTATGCAAAACACAACAGGCTTTAACAATTTTTTTAGCAAGGCGAAACGATACATTTAGAGGTCTGTGAAATATGCGCCACTTATTGGATAAAACACCGAATGAACATTCTATATATCGTCTAGTTCTGGTAAGGCGATAATTGAATATTTTTTTATTGCGGTTTAAATTTTTTCTAGCATATGGGCGCAGTAAATGGGGAGTGAGACGAAATGCCTCATCACCAACAATAACATATGGGAAAGGTTGCGTTTCGTTATACCCTGAAATCGGCTTATTCTCGGGAATATTTAGCAAATTATTTTCAAGCTTGTTTCAAAATGTACTATTAGTGAATACAGTAGAATTCGAAAATTTACCAAATGCACCTACATCTATATATGTCAAGCAATAGTTGGCATCGCATATGGCTAAAAGCACCAAAGAAAAAAAGTGTTTATAATTGAAACAAAGAGAACCACTGTTGATGGGCTTAATTATACGTATATGCTTCCCATCCACAGCGCCAATACAGTTTGGAAAGTTAGCATACTTTTCAAAATCAAATGCACTGTCTTGCCACTTTTGTCGGGATAGTTCCGGCATACAATCCGTTTTGATTATTCTCCAAATTTCGTCGCATACTAACTCTACAATATCACTAATAGTTGAAATACCGAGTCTGTAGGTGTAATGGATGTCAGTAAAGGTGTTGCCGCTTACCAAGTATCTGAAAAGCAATAAAAATTTATAGTTTCATGTTTTCCTTTACAGTGTTACTAATACAAAAGAGATGGAAAACTGCTAGGGATGCCTATGTACGAGATAGAGCCAAACTATGAAAAATGAAAAGAGTTGATTCTGCTAAGCATATAAAAAAGTATATCTATTTCGAGAACCTAACATTTTTAGAGAAAACGATTGGTAAGGTTCGGTCAAGGAGTCACAGTTAAGGCAGAATTTTACCAGAACAAAACGCAAGAAAATTGACACTTTAGATAATAAACTAATAGCATTTCTCGAGGAAGCTACAAAAAGTGACCAAGACCAAAGCATTTTTAACATCTCTTTTGCCAACCCTAAAAACTTTTAATGAAGCACAAACACTTCAGTTTAGATCTGAAGTGCTTCGTATAATAATGGAAATCAAAAATATTGAACAACATTCTGTCGTAACTCATCAAGCACAATCTGTATCAACCTAAAATGTTTCTTCACAGATACAGCAATTTAATCTAGACAATTCCAACAATTGGTCATCAAGACCATCAACATCGTATAGTTATCACTCATCAGATCAGGCGTCACTGCATTCTTCAGATTCTATGGCTATTTTTTTACCTTCACCCAGTTGTAGTGATACAAACTACCGGCCAACTTTATTAGAACTGTCTGCGACACAATTACTCGTAGATGACCAGACGCACTAACATCGCTATTCAATGCTTATTATATTGCATAATGCTATATATCTTTCAAGAAATCTGAATTAGTTTCATCAAGCAATCTTTGTTCTTTATGCAAATATGTTAGTTAATAAATGATTTTTGATAATATGTTTTTTCACTTACCTTATACATACACATAATCTCTCCACTGACGAAATTGACACTCTAACTTGATTTGAAAATTTTAAACCCTCTTCTAACCTGTCGTGTAGTTCGTCAAATGATCTTATTGACATCCGAAAGTAATTAAAAAATATTCTCTCATCTTCTCTCAAACTGGAGTACAAAGTAATAAAGGCACCTTTTATATACCTTGTACTTATAATCGGATGTACCCATAAATGTTTCTTTTTGTTTTCTCGTCTCCTTTTAATTATAAGCCAAGATATGGCAACAGCGATTTTCCTGCGACTGTTGAACATGGTATTCAAATTTGAACTGACGATCCGTTGCATGTGAAATGATGACGTCCAACGTATCATCAGTGCTGATATTTCAGAGCTCACCATCAGCGCTGACCATACGCTTCATCTGAAACGGCTTTTAGCGCTATGATTTACAAGTCTTTGCTGGTTCATGTGGAAACTGAACCCCTCCTGCGCTTTTGTCGCATAGCATCGCGACCATTGAATAAATAGCCATCATCTGGGAGGAAGAAGGGGCAACCTTGACGCGCCGAACGATGACGAAAGAACGCGGAAGCCTCACATAAAACGGCCGCGTCACACCAGGAATTGTTTTTTATCGTCTCTTATTAGCGTTTGTCCGTTTTTGTGCGGAACGAGCGAGTGCCAACATGATTACGCAGCTGTTTTGCACGGGAATTGCTATCCATACAAAACAATCCTTAGATAGTTATTAGGGAAATACGCTACATAAAGCAGTACCGGTACCTAAACCAAAATTGAGAACAGCTGCTTAGGCAGATTAGTCTAGGGTATCGATCCTACATTTGAATAGTCTTCATCTATATCTATAAAGTATGCGTTTCCTTCATTAGAAAATGTTATCTACGCCATCGACATGTCTAGTCAAAATCACGAAAGATGTCTATTATTATATTATATTTAGGTTATTTCACTGATTATTTTTATTTTCATTTTGAGATATATCTTGATAATAATTTTAGTGGGGAGTTTTTGTTTTGAAAAAAACAGTTATGAGTAGAACACCTTAAGACAGGAGCACCAAAGACTAAACTATTATTTGAAAACAACCTAACCTGTTTTAACATAACCTAACTATTTATCTTTCAAATATGATCGATCATGCAACATGAATACATCGTCTATGTTCGTCGGATACATGCAAATTAACAATACAGTTTGTTTAGACCAGATTTCCCCAAACTTTTTTGTGTCGTAGACCCCTTGCCATGTTTTTCCGTGTTGGGTAGACCCCCTACTTACCTGATATTGATTTCCTGTACATTTCTAACTGTAGTGAAGTTTAGTGTTAAAAACTTAAAGTAAAAACACATGTTAATTTATACATTTATTAATTGAATTTAAATTAAAACTACTCAAAATAAAATTTTATATCTATTATGTAAAATATACGTAACATTAAATAAACCTAGGTGGTGCATTGGAAAAAAAATAAGAGGGATAAAATAAAAAAAAGAGAAGAATTATAAAAAAGGGTTTTACTTAAAATAGTACAATAAGCGAGTTCGTTTAGTAATTAACATAAACGTATGTTCTACAATAGGTAATTTCGCTGTCAGTTTGATTAAATTCCGCTTCTTATACGTTTAAGTTATCTAAAAATAGGCAAAAAATTAACGAATTTTAGTGTGTACCTATCCTTGAATTTTCAGAATAATTTTAAAAAAAATATTTTCTATAAAGGGGGGTTCTTTAAAAAAATCAATGCGGGCACTTATTCCCAATGCGGGCACTTATTGGTCAGACACCACTAAACTTAAAATAAACTATAAATAAAATAACATAAGCAATAAGTAAATATTTCTAGTGAGAAGGATGAACCTGATGCTTTAATAATAAATTATCAACATTTGGCGTCAATTTTGTAAGGGTTTAAATCTCCTCGGCTAATGATGTCCAGTCTGTTTCTTTTTTTCGTTAGCAGATTGATAACAGCGCTGAACCTCCTTTCCACTAGGTATGACGATGGAAAGGAAATTAAAAATTTCCTCGCTATATTCCATAATACGGGATAAGTAATGGGTATGTTGTTTTGCAGCCAGAATTGCTGATATCCGTTTTTAAACTGAACCTTAAGTTCTTCGTTTGTACTTAGTTCAGTCAGTTCCTCTTGTATTATGACATTCGTTTCTTCTATGTCACCATATGGATTAATTATCCACGGTGGTATTACCATAGTCAAAATATCCTCAAACCTAGATTCAAAATATGAATAGAGGGTATTTAAATGTTGAACGTAAGTTGAAACGTCGTCTTCCTGGCAGCTTGTCTGTGACAAATTGGGGAACTGAGGAAATGCGCCCCCGTCCAATATTTTGCTTCATTAGTTTAACTCTGGCAAAGAACGCTGATAAGATGGACTTTGTTTTAATCAAATTTAAACTGTCGCCTTGTAATTGCAAATTAACCATATTAAATTTTGTAAACAAATCTGTTAAATAGGCGATGTCTGTTTTCCTCTTCATTAAATTTTTTTTTAAAACTTTAGTATCCAGAAATTCTAAAATAGTCTCAAAAAGTGCAAAAAATCTTGTCAAACATATTAAGCCTTTCGACAGCCAGCGTACTTCAGTTGCTTCCGATTCGGTTTACTGCATCAATGACTAAATGAAGTGATTGATGCAATCTAACACTCAAATTTTTAGCAACTAAATGTTGTCGATGGATGACGCAGTGTATTGCTAACACCCCTGACACATTTTGTTTTAAATAGCTTATAAATCCACGATAACGTCCAACCATGGCAGGTGCTCCATCTGTAGCTACTGATATTATATTTGATAAAGGAATTACTTTTTCAATGAAGTAATCCTTCAAAACATGAAATATTGATTCACCTTTAGTGTCGGTTATCAAAGTTCTTGCGAAGAGCAGTTCTTCGTAGATTTCTTGATTCATAATAAAAAGAACATATGCCAATAATAATGCTGCATTATCAGGTAGAGTTGACTCGTCCAGTTGTATAGAGAAATGGGTCGTTTGCAAATAATTACATAAGAAGCTTTCAATATCAGAAAACTCATTTCATCAATACGTCTTTCAACAGTATTGTTGCTTAAGGGAATTCTTTTAATGATATCAGATGCAGGTTTGTGTAAAACAGTTTTTAAAACCTCTTCAAGGGCTGGCAAAATTAACTTCTCTCCGATAGTATGCGGTTTTCCGGATTTTGCTATAAGTAACGAGATATTGTAAGACGCCCGCAAACCATCATCATTTCTTTGTGACGTCGAAGCGAACATTCTGTCCAGTGTAGGTCTCTTCTGAAATTTATCTTTGAGTGTTTGAAAGTATTTCAAATCTTTCTCTGTTTTATCAGGGTGGCATCTTCTCAGATGATCTTGCAGTTTAGATGGTTTCATAGCGTCATTGCCCAAAACTTTGTTGCAATGATGGAATGAAGCCAAATTTCAAATAATCAACACTGTATTGTCTACATTTCTTTTTAGATTCGGACATGGCATCAGTCATTTGTGGGCAAAATTAAATTATTTAAATAAGACAGAAAATCCAGCAGCTGTATATTAAAAATATTTTTTGATTTTTCCGAAAACATTCCATAATTCGAACATCTTCTTGCAACAATTAGCTCGAATTACGGAGATTGCAGTGTAATTATATTACCGATTGCTAAAACTTTCAAAAAGAAACTATTGAGGAGTACTCGTGTAATTTTGCATGATTGAGTATTTAACTACTAATAACTAAAGTCATGATTGGCGTAATTTATCTATCTTTGCTAACTACGAGTACAAAACTAAAATTTAATAAAAAATAATGTACTTACTTTTCGCCAGCACTCTCAAACAAAATAACACTGACTCACTATAATTTGTGTAATATACTATCTGTTTGAATTTTTTTAAATATTTTCTTAGCACTTTCCTTTTCAAGATTCAGGAAACGAATAAACGTATTTGTCAGACATTCGTATTTATAGAGTGACGAATTGAACAAGTCAGTGCAAGGTAGCGAAGCTCTGAGACTGCGACTCTCAGGTATTTACAAGTTCAAAATGTATTGCGACCACAAAGCGAATACCAACATCCTACAACTTACACAATTTTATAAACATATATAATACATTTTTTACTTCATATGTACTTTTATAAATAATGTATATGTTTTGATATTATAAGATAGTATGATGTAAGTAAATAGGTACTATCAGTGTATGTGTTGAGATCCACTATCGTGGACCCCCATATTCATTTCATGGACCCTCAAATTTTTTTTCGCTGACGTAGACTCCTTGCAGGTTGTCATAGACCCCTAGGGATCGATATAGACCACTTTGGGAATCAATGGTTTAGACAATAAAATTCTGTTTGTCTCTGTCTAACATATCTGAAACTTCATTCAAAAGATTCACAAATTGCTGTCGTTGGTCTTTACTACAGACCAAAATGATGACGTAATCGTCATATTTCGTGATTTGGACTATAGCTCTCTGATCATCTAGTAACAACGCTATGCGGCCGGCCGAATTATTCTGTGTTCGATTCCAGTGCCCAATAAAAGATCTGCGGGAGCGGGGAAACGGTTCTGGGCTTTATCGGTACGGACGAAGACACTCAGCCGGCAGCTTGAAAAGCCATATACTCTGTTATCGCAAATTTGATAACAGGGAGAAACAGGCCCTTTTTGATACCCCAGACATCAACACATAAATCATTCTTAAACTAACTGTACTACCAGCATTTAACATTAATAAAGACTGTGAGAGATTCTTGATCCTAATGAGAAGAAAATTTATGATACCAGGTTTTGAGGCAATTCAAGGAAGTCTGAGATAATCTATTAGCTATTATCGCGCTGAGAGGAGATCCGGTAGTTCCATATTTTTCCCTAACTTTCATATTTTTTAATTACATAATTGGATAGACCTGATTAGTTGCGTTTTATTGAGTTTTCTGTTAAACCACTTCAATCTTTAAACAAATTTCCCTAACTTCGTCACATACACACAATCCTTGACTAAGTATCTAAAAACAACTACGAAAGTAGCGGGATTTGGAAAGTTCTTATGTGAACGATTTAAGGAATAATCACGCATATTTCAGAATACTGTACAACTAGTTGGTTCGAACATTTCAAGGAACTGGTAGCAGCTGAGTAGTCTAAACATATAAGCAAATGTTCCCTAAATAATTGCAAAGTTTAGTTTTATTGATGTAGGTTGTTTGAGGGGGTATTTAAAACATGGGCGCTTAAAATTTGTACACCAATTTTTGTGGGAAAACGTGTTTTTCAATCAAAAGTGTTGCCAGGGACAAAAAAAGATTTTTAGGTATTTACGGGACCTACAAAATGAGACTACACATAAAAACACCCAACTAATAGCAAAAAAGTCCGAAAACCCAGTTAAAATGCAGGGTTTGGCACTTGTTGGTAATGCGACAATAGTGTAAAGCAGATACTCAAAATTCCTCATATCCGTAGGCTTTATACTTCTTAATAACCACAACAAAATCGGAGTCGATTGGTCAAGTAGTTTTTGCGAATTTAAATTAATATCTCAAAACGTCTGTTTTCTGGCCTACTACTAGTTTATAGAGCAATATAGAAGATTCGTTCAAATGTTATAGCAAAATACACGAGTGTACCTCGCCGATATGAATCACAAACCATTCTGAAAGATGAATGTTTAGGAGAAAAACAAAGGATCAAGTTTTTTTCTATAAACAAATTCAAACATTTCGTGGTTGTGAGTATTTGAACAGATGCGCTACGATATTCGAAAAACATAGTTCAAAATACTCATTTTAAAACAAAGCGAATTTCTTCATACTCTTGTGTATACATATTTAGAGATGAAATTTTTACACAATATCAGATGAGCCTTAAAGTTTATAAAAACAAGTAATGTCATACTGGAGTACATTGAACTGTTTATAAAGTTAGCACGCAAGCTGAAGGCACAATATTGTTTCAAACTGGCGGCCTAGTTTGTATGTAGCATGTACTATATGGCTACGTTATTGATGGCTGCTTGACTTTGTCAAATAAGTAGGCCACGTAATCCAATTTCTTTTCTAAAAAATATAATTTCCTGGACCTAGTTTCTAAAAGTGTAAATGTAGCATACGTACGTATAATTAAATCGTCTGCGAGTTCAAAATGAAATCGAGAAAGCGAAAAAAAAAGTAGACAAATATCAACCAATTCTAGCGATCTGACCGTCTGAAAAATTAAGGGAAATGCACAGTAGTTCTCCTTAATACATTATTTGTAAGTTTTATTAGCATTGTATGTTGTACAGTTTTCAAGACTATTCTATTTGTTTATAACAGATTTGAAGTGCAGTCAACGTTCGCTTTACATTTGTCAATGTTAAGTATAGTGGTATAAATATCCAGTAGACTAAGAGATTTCGTAATGTAATGGAAAGGAGAGAGGGTTGCAGAACCCCAAGGCGCAGGTCCGAATTCACAAATGTTCCTTTTTCCCTATTTATTTTCTTTAGTTCGGTAAAATAAATGCTTTTTCACGTTATGTGTACTTTTATTGTGGTCAAACAGCTTTTCCCACATGTAAGAGAGTTGCAATGTTACTAGCTAGCCAGTAGGGATAATTATAAGAATGTTAATAAACGTCAAACATCTATTATATATCGTGTACCGAGCCTACAATATGCTGTAATAAGGCGGTACGGACTGCCCAAATTGGAGGCCCTATATTTCAGAAACTACTCGTTTAAAAAATGTGTGTGCATGGCCACTTTTTTGTACGTGTTGAGATTCACAACATAAGATTAGCCGAAGGCGTTTCCCCATAAAGCTTTTCCGATATCTTTTAAGGGTATAATGTCCGAGAAAATCCAAGAAAATCCTGGGGCTTCTAAAGAGAGCCAAACACATCGGAAGAAATTCAACGAAATCTAGAAAGAACCAGATACTGTCATCCGTAAGCAAAGAACTACAAACGATGTTATCTATTTCTGAGCTACTTCTTGAAAGTTAAGCTTCTGTGATTCATACGAAATGACACTGAATTCAACCGAGCTGTACATTGCATTT